CCACTCAGATCAGGGTCAGTCCAGCGTGGTCATGACAGAGACACGAGGTCCACAGTGGCCGTCTTCAGGTGTACACTGTGCAAGTATTAAGGTACAATATGTTTAATATGCAGAAGAGGAAACAGTTTTCCGGTTGTGAGAATTCTTAGTATTGATGTGAAGTTTTTACCAAATGACAAATATAAGCTAAGCTGTCCACATAGAACAGGCACGGGCCACAATGGGTCCCAAAATTTGACAGAAGGCTGAGTCAGGGGGAGAAAGATGGTGCATTTGTATGAACTAAGACAACTGACATTTAAAAGTCATGTATAAAATTATTTTTGCCATTTCTACGCCATCTATTGGGGAAACGTGGAAACCGCAGGGAAAAGGGAGAAGTATAATGATATATAATAATGATATATAATAATAGAAATAAGTAACAATTTGGACAAGTTTGGCAGGTTGGAATAAAAAGGCAAACGAGCCCGAGGTTTTTTAGAGAATATATGGACACTGTAAAACAGTGGATTGAATGTTGAAAGTGAGTGACATTAGAACACTTTGTATACAGGTGCAACCATAATGGTGAATCCTGTTATAAGAAATTAAAATAGATCAGTGGTTAACTGGCAGCCCGTGAACCGAATCCGACCACCCGAACTGTCCAAACCCGACCCTCAGTTGGATTCTAAAATAAACCCTACAGTTGTCCTCTGATACAGATCATGTTGCAGCTTATTTCCAGATATTGTTAAACAAAACACCGCAAAAGCAGACAGTCTTTTTACATCAATTTTATTGAGTCAATAGAAAAAGCCACTAGGCTTTGACAGCAAATTTGCGCATGGAGTAGAGGAGGTCTTTCTTCTGCTGTTTCTTGGTGCGCAGACTCTCTTCGTGCTTGTTGAGCCGGCGGCGCAGAGCTCTGGTCTTCTTGGGTCTCAGATCCAGGGGCTTGTACTTCTTACCCTGGAAGAGCAAATAATGTCAGCAAGGACAAAGAGTATTTTTAACAGAATTACAAACACGGGTGACAGACTCTGTAGAGACATGTAGACGTACAGGACTCATGACATGCCAAACACAGAATAGTGTCGGTATAAACCAACCAACAGTGGCTGCACACTTCATACTTTTTTTTAATCCAGAAAACAACATTGGAGAATTTTAGGAACTAATTTAAGTAAAAACATAACATAAAAATTAGATGACAGTCAGGACTCTGGCGATAGACAAAATGGGAACTCAAACAAAAGTAAGGTGGCAATAATTCTATTTTGTCTGCAGAGCGTTTGTTACTCACCGTAGTCCTGTTCGCTGCCTAGTTGGAAAGGCCGGACACAACGCGTGCTCATAAAAAAAAAGTGTTTCCGGTGATTCTCTTCCTCGTCGGTCTGTTTCAGAATGGGAACGAGCGCCCCCATTAACCGGAAAAGGAGTAACACCGTGTGTTCAGTGAATTTCTATATCATGGTAGCATTCTACTGAAGGGGAGGATTTTTATGAATAAAAATGAATCAAACCCTTTTTTTCTTTTTTTTCCCATATTGTATTTAATATTAAGAAACAGAAAGAAGAAAAGCAGCAGCACTTGTTAAATCATACCAAGGAAAAGATAAATATTGATTGTTGATTGATAGATGAGTGTTTTGGGGATTTCACAGTAGAGTAGAATCAGTGGCAGTAAAAAGTACATTTGCATTTTTTTTTTAAATTATCTTAATGAATTCAGTATCCGTATAAACAGGAGTCTGCTACACCACACTGATCTGTTCAGTAGTTACATGTTTTTCTGCAGGTAAACCTGCATCCCAAGGGAAAAGGCAGAAGTATGATGATAATAGAAATCAGTAACATAATTTTGGACAAGTTTGGTGGGCCAGATTAAAAAGGCAAACGAGCCTGAGGTTGCCCATGCTTGACATAGAAGCAATTTAAAACAAATCTGTCCACAAACTTCATCATGCAGACTGATATTGAAGAACTTCATAGAATCCTTGCAATCAGGAGGACTAATAAGAGACCTCAGCAAACAACACTGGTTGTTTTTCTACACACATTTGTTAAAGTTGTTATAAAGTTACACATTTTAAGTGTTTTAAGTACTTTGTTCTGATTATTGTTCCACACAGTGGATCCTGCCAAGGTCACTTGATACACTCTGATTGTACAGAGCAGTAATCAGGTGGTGACACCAAGGTTTTTTAGAGAATATATGGACACTGTAAAACAGTGGATTGAATGTTGAAAGTGAGTGACATTAGAACACTTTGTATACAGGTGCAACCATAATGGTGAATCCTGTTATAAGAAATTAAAATAGATCAGTGGTTAACTGGCAGCCCGTGAACCGAATCCGACCACCCGAACTGTCCAAACCCGACCCTCAGTTGGATTCTAAAATAAACCCTACAGTTGTCCTCTGATACAGATCATGTTGCAGCTTATTTCCAGATATTGTTAAACAAAACACCGCAAAAGCAGACAGTCTTTTTACATCAATTTTATTGAGTCAATAGAAAAAGCCACTAGGCTTTGACAGCAAATTTGCGCATGGAGTAGAGGAGGTCTTTCTTCTGCTGTTTCTTGGTGCGCAGACTCTCTTCGTGCTTGTTGAGCCGGCGGCGCAGAGCTCTGGTCTTCTTGGGTCTCAGATCCAGGGGCTTGTACTTCTTACCCTGGAAGAGCAAATAATTGGAGAACTTTAGGAACACACTTAAGTAAAAAAAAAAAAGTTAACAGACCACACAGCACTAAGTCCAAATTTCATAATGTTTTTTATATTCTTTATTTTAAATACCCTTTGGCTCGGTAATAATATAACTATACCTAAACTGTCAATTAGACTTTGACTTTCTTTTGCATAAGTATTGGTTTCATCTTCAACGTGATTAGTAAACAGTGTTTAGTCTCCCCCCACCGCACCTCTCCCCCCATCCCCACCTATAACCTAAGCTACTTCTACCATTACTGTGATAAAGGCATAGAACCGACAAATGATTCTGGTCATAAGAAGTGTTGCGGTCAGTGACAACAGTTGGTGCTTTTTGGAACTTCCTGGTTATCAAGTCTCAGTCTTTTGGTAAGCTTTTGTGAATGCATCAGCACACTTCAGCTTGGTAAGTATCATCTCAGACAAGCAAACCACAGGAAAAGCCCAAGTACAAAGCAGCTGAAACATGTGTAAATAAACATGCAGCTATTTTAAATATTCTGCTGCTGCCGCTGCTCTCACCTTGTAGAACTTCCTCAGATTCTCCTTCTGTGTCTGGTTGATGACAGTCAGGACTCTGGCGATAGACAAAATGGGAACTCAAA